AAAATCCTTATGAATATTTAAATTAATTTTTGAAAAGCCAGGGAAAAAAATGATTCGATAGGGGAAACTGAACTGAAGCGAGAAATAATAAGAATAGAAAAAAAAAATATTAATATTCAATTTTTCAAAAATATGTTAACATTTCAAATACTTGATTGTTATTCATTTTTTATAATTAACCTAATTATATCTTCAAAGTCATAGAAGTCATTTAATAAATTGAGTGTTAATATTATCCTCATGTTAATTCTAGCTTCTCTTTATTAAAAAGGTAAAGGATCATTAATCTTTTAAATTATTTTCCATGCAGGTTATTTATTTTTATCAAAAATGAAAAATATTTATATGCACAAAATAAACCCAACCAATCAATCTTTAGTTACATTATTTTTTTTTTCATCTCCAAGAAAAGTTTTTCTGGAAATAATTCCTGTTCTGTATATTTTGCAATTTTTCGTGAATTACAGGCATTCAATTATTTAACATCACAGCATATACATTTTGTCTGATCGACATTGATAAGAGAGGGATAAAAATAAAGCGTAAAAAAAATAAATAAAAATAATGAGATATAATTTTGAGCGAGACTGCGATCTTTCGTCGGTCCTTTGAGGATGGTGTTGGTATGCCAAGACGATTTATTATGAGAAACATATCGCATCGTGGGTTTCTTACACTCTTGTCTTGTTCGAGGGCGCGTGGAACTGTGGGCAGCGCTCGAGGAGGTGCCAGTAAGAGGCGGTACTGCCTCGTAAACCTTAGATTTACTTCTGGCTGGCCGCCATCAAAGTACGAGTGCACCTCAGTACCTTGAAGAACCGTCTCGAGATACTTATCGTTAATATTACCGAAGGTACAGTCGAGAATTTCTTGCAAGGAGTTGGAGAACAAGTAGTGGCAAGGGGGTAGCGTATCTTGCCCTTTGGTACCTCTGAATGCTGCCGTCTGCACGGAAACTTCAGCTCTTAAACTTTTATTTCTTCAGTAACGCTTTTAAACGATGAAAAAGTGAAAATAATCGTGAGCTCGAGATTCCAGTTATAAGCTTGTAGATTCTTAGAGCCTCGAGCAATATCGAAAATTGATTCGATTTCTCCTCCTCTTGCTATTTCAATCGACAACGAGGATATGTGCATAATACTCTCCTCGGAATTTATTTATAGTTAACAAATATCCTCTTTAGCACCTTTTAAAAATACTTAAGTACCGTGAACATCATTTTAAATGCTTTTCAATAAAGTTTATTGATAAAAATTGATCACGTGGTCTCTACATTTCTTTATAATTATTTAACTCCACATGTTTAACAACTTTTTAAAAACAAATATGCACTTCTCAAAGTAAGATTCTTCATGATAATTTTGTTTTTCTTGAATAATACATTTTTAGACTTTTATTAATGATTAATGATTACAAGCATAAATAAATAATTCATAAGAATTAATTTGATGAAGAAAATTATTTTATTGTTGAAAAATATTTTTTAATATTTTGATCTTTAACCTTTTTTTTAAATCGAAAAACCTATCTAAAATTGTTCCTTAATCCTTAATCTTCGTAGAATGAGTCACCTTAAGTATTAATTAATTTACAATCATTAATGATTACAACGGAAAAACGTTATTAAACGTCCATTGTTGCAATAATGAGCTTGAAAGTCCCGTAAGCGGAGCTTTTGTCTTATTGACAAGCAGAACAAAGAAAAAATTCTATGTCACATTCATTTATTTATCATTACAATAAAAGTTGCAAAAATAAATCATTTTCATGTTGGGAAATATTTAAGAAAAAAATTTTTCTTTCAATAAAATTCTTTTTCCTCCGAGGAATCAATTTATTCTTGAAATAAGTTTATTTTTATTCTAATTTATTTACTTTTGATGTAAATTTTTTTTAATCTCGATGGTAGACAACAATATTGGCAGTATTATCACCCATATAGACACGAGTATATCTGAAATCTACGACATAAGCAAAATGAAATTCGATAATAAAATTTGTTCCCGCCAGTTAGGGAATATTCACTCTCCCTCTTTGCTTCTTTGCCAAAAGCAGCTATTAATTTTTTATCTGGTATCTCCGCCCCGGAAGAACGAGTGAGAATGAAAAAATAAAGGAAACAAGTTTACGATAAAAAAGTAAACGTTTTTCAATATATCCAAAAAGGGATCCATAAAAATTTTGCACATCTCCAGGTTCTTGTTCGAAGAGATATCATCCCCTCTTCAACTCGTCAATCCCTCGGTATTATTATATGCAACGACTACATAAATGAGCACATATACATATCAAGAGAACCACAAACTGTTGCGTGTTTTGGACCTGTCATTTTTTTTTGTTTAACTTTTATCCCCATTCCCTACTCATCCCCCTTTGTCTTCTCTCTTATGTAAACTTTTTTTTATATCTTTAAAATACTTTTATTCATTTTTTTTCTACCATACACATCATTATTAACTCGTCCTTTGAACTTGTATCAAGTAAATCGATAGTTCGATGAACGAGAAATCGATATGACGCGACGAATATATGCATAGTGATGCGCTCAGTACAAAGTTGCACACTTGAAATATAAGAGGGTGGGATCGTAGGGGATTTTTTTAAATTTTATTTTTTATTTTAATAATAATAACGAGTAAAGAGGAAGAAGAAAAAATAAAAGGTGGCTCAGGATATTAAATACAGAACACGAATGTGGGTGGGGCCACCCGAGTGGGTCCTGTCGAAGATTGAGAGTCAAGATAACCGATACACCTCTGGGAAATATCGGTATCGATAGTCGATCAAGCACAAATGGTTTATGTGAACTCACGACCTCCGACCCATTGTAATAACTGCACACCAGGTCCCGATCGAGCGGCATCATCTGCTCGTTGATCTGTCCGATCGAACTGGATCTTCTTGACTTTAATCACGAGCCATTTAGTCTCTTTCAATAGTTGTAAATCACTTTGGAAATATGTTTTTAAATGGAAAAAAATTATGTTGTAGTTCAGAAGAAGATAACTGTTTATAAATTATGAATAACTGCTTTTCACCTGCTCTCTCACTCAACCAAATAGGCCCTTTTATTCAGAATTTTTTAAACCACAAAAATATCAACACCTGCATTCAAGAGTCCTTAGCCAAAAATCCTGGGAATATGGAGATGATGGAGGATCATTGATCTATCAATAAAGGCCTTCTACGTAATGCGTGACAGCTGAAACTACTGACTGAATACAAAGAATTGTTGGCAAAAATAAAATAAAAATTCTGAAGTTAACAAAGGAATCATTTTTTTTTCTTTTTTTAGAAAATTAATAAGTCGTTTGAAAGAAAGAAGTTTGAACTTTTTAAAATAATTTTTTTACTCTAAAGATTCCCAGATATTTTTCAGCAGACGATAGTGAATTAATATAAGCAAAAAAATTAATTTATTCATTAAAATTTATATTTTATGAGGAAGCAGTTAGTGAAGTCACCCCAATCGTTATAATGATAATAATTAAAAAAGAAACATAGTTAAAGTCCCCCTTGTCTAGAGTATATTAATGTATAAATAAGTATATTGCAATGTTGAGTGTGTGAACAGTACCTTCATACTTTAAATGTCTATTATAAGTTAAACGTAATTTCCTCACGCCTATGTAATAAGTGTGCAAAGAACAACTACAATGTATTCATTAGATGAATATAACACGTGGTAGACTGCACTCATGGATTTGCAATGTATACTAGTAGGAAATATTTTAAATATCTCTAAAGTGGAAACTTCATGTTGGAATTTCAATCTAGATTTATAAATAATTAACAAGATAATTATCTTTTTAATTTCTGATTTATCATTCTTTGAATATTTCATCTTGACTTTAATTAATAGAAAAAACATAAATCAACGAACTAAGAATGAAAATAATTTTTAAACAATTTAAATTATCTCTATCATCTTATCTAACTATATTCTCATTTTGTTACTAAAGTTTATAAAAATCACCAACGGAAAATTCTATCCCTAGAGTAATTGAAAGAAGAGAATTGCAATGTTGGCAATAAAAAATTTTTTATCTAAATCTCAGAGCATATTTAATAGAAAAAAATGTAGATTGTGTTGAAAGTAGAAAAGGATCTATCAGGGCAGACATTTATGTTAAAACTAGCTATTTTATTTTAACAACAAAGATGCAGCATACATAGAGGAGATGAAAGACGAGTATGCTGGCAGACGAGGAGCGAAGGTAATTGAGTCCTCAGCAAAGATATGGTCGTACAGGATATTCTGGCTTTAAAGCCCTTCCTCTCTGGCGTTTACCGTCGCTCGAGGGTAGAGCAAGTGAGAGCATATGAGACATACGTATATAGTATACTGCTAATAATATTATTGTACCTTGCCCCAAGCAGCACAATGGGCCTTTGTCGTGGCGTCACAAAGTGCGGCCCGCGTAAACTCAACGCTGCAATCGCTGTGGCTTTAACCTGGACGTAAATTACGGCCAGCGACTCATTGTCTGCTCATATAAACTTAACTTGCTTATGCTGATGAATCCCCATACGTTCAATTGAGTACCACCACCACCACCTTGGACAATTTTTATGCCGGATAAATACTCCTTAATGAGGTGGGAATAATCAGGAAGATAATAGAATTAAATATTTAAAAATAATAAAACAATATAAACTTCTCTTTTTTTTTTCTTTCAGAATAAATTAATATATTTTATAATGGATATAATGGTAATGTCTGTCGATTTTTATGGCATTTTTGAATTTATATAACTTAAAGTTTGTTTAAGAATTCATATAATGCACACACCATAATTAACTTTACACATTTTTCATTTTTTTTTATTCACGCTCTATAGGTTTATTTAATGATTTTTGCTTTTTTTTATTCACCTTTACACAACGTTTTTTAATTATCTTTATTATCATTATCAGCCTGCCTATTTTATCTATATATACACTGGCTCTATTGCTTTATTAAATTATCTTTTGCATTGTCAGAAAAAAATTATTTTCAATAAAGTCATAAATACACTGGAATGTATTCAAATAAAAAAGATGATTTTTCTTTTCAAAAGAAGTTAATGAATTAATTATTTATTCCTCTTTTGAAAATGATTATTTTTCTCAATGCAATCAATCGACTCATGCACTATGCATATTCGCCAACAGAAATTAAATTAATTAAATCACTATTTACATTATAAATACAATTCACAATCTCATTACAATCAAAGACTTTCATCTTAATTTTATTCATTCTGTTATTTATATTCTATTTAATTTCACGATTCACTCATTCTCTCTCTTCCATTCTCTCTTATTGCACACTTTATAATATTTACGTCGATGGCTGACTGACGAATTGATTGGTGAGATTGTAATGGATAACATTGCATTCAAAACTCAATGATCTCAACCTCTATCATGTACAATAGAAAGATATGTCAATTGATGATATTAATTCTCATACAAACAAATCGTCAATCAGTGAGTATATTCAGTCTCCAATCAGTGTCTGCCTCCAACGGGACTACGTCGTGGAAGGCGAAGTGGGAACGGATATTGGTGACGTTGGAGAAATTGACTGTCTACCATTAGATAACGTTGATGGAGTTGATGCACGAGTTGGATCACATTTAGGAGTGTTGGCTCGTGTATTTCCCAACAAACTATCAATAGAAAAAGGGTTCAGTCGTCGTCGTTCTTCTCTACCTTTTACCGACAAGTCAATGCTTCCACTCTGGACTTCATCATCATTGCGGTCCATTTGAGAGCGGCCAAGACCCCGAGGACTTTCAGAAGATCGACGAGCCACGTTATTACTGAGACTCACCAACTCCCTCCGTCGTTCCAACAGGCTTAGACCCCAATGGCGAATTCCTTGCTGATGATTCAAGTCTAGATTTAAATTTAAAGGTCCATTGGGCCTTTGGTGATCATGTGATTGATGTGGTGCTCTTCCTGATTCTGTTTGTTCTATCGTTAGTCTTGGATAGCTTTCTCCATCAATAGATCCATCTGCTGCTGAATCTACTCGTTCACTCTCACTCTCACTACACGAATCTAGTCCTCCTACGACATCAATCTCTTCATTTGCATCATTACCCGAACCCGACACACTGCTGCCTTCGTTCAAACTTCCTAACTGGCCAAAGGATCCACTCAGGTGACCATTGAGAGGATTTCCACTTGCATTTGCGGCACTTCTAGACTCCCACTCAGCTTTGAGTGTTGATAAGTCGACAGTGATGCCCTGGAACAAACATGGGAATTTTTTTTTTTATTTGACAGATATTAATTATTATTCTAATGAAATGCAAATTTAGGATCATTAGTAGAGGGGGTGTTTGAAATAGATTATTAATAATTGAAATGCATGAGAGTCTTGTTTCAAGGTTAGATTATTGATGACAAATATTTTTTTGCTGATTATCAGTGGAAATGATTTTTTTTATTTCAATTTATTCCAGGAATATAATTTCTAAAAATGATATACTTAAATAAAATAACTATTATTTATGAACGTCGAGTCGTTTATTATTGATCGTGTTTCTGACTTCCGATTACTGTATTTTTTACATGAAAAAACTTGTTTAGAAGCTTAAAAAAAATATGAATATGTGATTTTTTTAGTGGAAATAGTTAAGACCAGTTTTTTTGCTAAATATTACAAGTAATAAAAAGCTTTATAATTAAAAATTATAATTCTAATTAAACACATAAATTATTCGGTTATCAATAATGAATAATCAATAGGAAATTTTTTATTTCTTCCAATCATTTATCAATTTTGAGTAGAACAAATGAGTTGAAAAAAATTCTCAACATTCATTAACTTCTGTTGTAACAGAAAATAATTATTCAAGGTATTTTGTGCCTTCTTGTTTTTTCTCAAATAATTTAAAAAACTTTTCAATAAAATCAAAAAATCTCTTTACCTTTGCCGCAAGTTTTCTTTGCTGTCGTTCCAGAGTTTTTAGCAACTTCTTTTGTCTCCTCTCTCGTTCTTTCCTCCTCAATTCTTCCGGTGGAATTGGCTCTCCACTGCAGCTCTGTGGATGTGCATTGTGTGCCGGCCTTCCTGGTCCCTTTTTTGTGTGTTCTTTTTTCCTCCACTTGGCTCTTCTATTTTGAAACCATACCTAATGGAAAAAAAGAACAACCAATTGTAGTTAAAAAAAAAAAATTACTGGTTTTAAACTTTAAAACTAACATTTACTGGGGAGAAAAAAAAGTTGTTAAACATTTTTTAATCCATGGGGCTGGCAATGGGATAGGTGGTTGGAGGGTTCTTAACTCGCGTGGGCGCGAAAGTGTTGGGTTTAAAGGAGTAAGATGGCATGGGGGAAATAACTGGGCAAAAAGAAATGAAGACATTAGTTGGGAGGGTTGGTCGCACGGCCAGTAAGCGGCGCAGGTCTCACGCGAAGTCAACGATCGATACACCCCTTCTTCATTCTTCTATCAAAAGAGCCTTTCTTTTTACTCTTTCCTTCTTTACCACAAAAATATTGTATCCATAATCAACTGATAAATCATCGATACCATAATGAATATTTTCTTCTTATTTATTGAAGTATTTTGAAAACAATCAAGTGTTGAAATATTTTATTAAATGTATTTTCTCAGGATTTTCCACTTCATTTATTTTCGTGAGTAAAGAAGTTGATAAAAAGTTTGTGTTAACATAATTGGAGTTGTTGAGACAATTAACATGTCCAACATGACTTGAACCGATGTACAGTAAAATGAACGACTTCATTATGTCCTCACATGAGGATATCTCCCTTTTGATCCTACCATGTGTCTCCTGCATCTAATCTCCGCATGTTCCTTGATTGAGATGCCAAGATAAACACCAAAGGTAAATCAAAACTAACAGACAGGATGTCAACTACTGAGATTTCAGATCCAGTTGCTTGAATGAATCTTCAATTCCCTTTTGCTTATTGAGTCTCTCGACCCTTTTATGAATTCGTTACTCAGATACATTATTTATGTCAGACATATAAAGGGCTAGACATGTCAAATATCAAATTTTTTCCCATTATTCTCAATCAGGATGATCTTTAATCCTACCCACCTTTAAACAATTTATAATAATAAATTTATATTTTATGATTTACTAACAATCTTCAAATAATTATTACAAATTTATCAATAAATTAACTCTTCTTGATAAGATTTAAGCATGAAATTGGAAAAAAGTAAACAAAAAAACAAATTCAGTCAATAAATAACGGTTTTAATGAATAAAGTAGTTTAGATTAAAAAGTAAATGCAATAGAGTTTGATACAAATCCTTGAAATGATCGGTAGAATAAAATATAGTAGCAAACGAGTTGGTTTAATATGATTATGCTAAACATTTATTCGATTTCGTTTATCAACTGTAATAATTCTAGTTAAATAGTTCAATTTATTTTATCGAGATATATCTTTTTCACACAAATTATCCAGTAATATTGTTTAAGGCATATTTATTTTATTAAACATATCACATTTAAAATCTCCAATCTGTAATTGCGGTTGTTTAAAGCTCGAGGGGTATACACACACTCTATCGAATTTATTCGATCCGGAGTATTATCGTGGCAGCATCGAACCCGAATGGACCTTTTCCAGTCGAACACCCTCCGATCCATTTGGTACCTTTTCGAAAGTATATAACCACACTGGCTGACGAGCAGATGGACCAACTACCCCCAAGAGGGAATGAAAAGTAGTATGAAGTAGAAGTTGAATAAAAAAAAAAACAAAGCGTAAAGGCCAAGGGTCGAATGGTCAGAAGTTGGAAGCCGTCGCACCCCCGTCTGTTCATATCATTTTAACATTCTGACTCAAGAGTCCTTCACTTTGAATACTCAACTCCCTTTTAAAACTATTCTTATCGTCAGGACCAATCTCTTCTACACCCTATGCTACATCGTTGATATCAAAATACGTACAAACGTTAATAGACTCTTAATCTTTAATGTGTCAAAATATTGCTTCTGTTATACAGTGATTTTTTTGTTTTCTTTTTATGATGAAATGATTGGAATAATGTTTCAAAATCAATATTAACTAAAACTTTGTTACATAAAAAAAATTGTTTTCTCTTGAAAATAATTTATTAACATTCAAAAAAAATTAATATCGTTATTTGAAGTTAATAAAATTGAGATAAAGATGATTTTATTAAAAATTGATTGAATAAATTAAGGATATAAATTTGTTTTTTAATGAATTAAGTTGTAAATTAATACTTTCTAAGGGGAACAAAATAAATGAGATGTTTAGAAAATATTAAAGGCTGTTACATATTGAATTGCAATAAAAAAAAATTTAGTAATTGTTTCTAGGGAAATATGAAATTAAAAATAACGATAAAATGAAAAAAAAAAAAAAACAAAAGAAACTTACAGCCACTCGGCTTTCTTTCAAGTCCAGTCTCACAGCCAACGCCTCTCGCATAAAAACGTCAGGATAATGGCTCGCCAAAAATGCACGTTCAAGTTCTTCAAGTTGCCAACTATTGAAATTCGTCCGACTTCTTCTCCTTTTACTGCCACTCTCATCAGATTCATCATCACAAACTGGAAGCATAAAAAAAAAAAAACTAGAAATATTCAATTATTTTTATACTAGACACAGATAAATATCCTTATTCATCATCGAAAATAGACAATTGTATTTAGATTACCATAAAATTTGTTTGTAGCAAAAATAATACACATTGGCCATGACCCCCTCTATTAGATAAGAGAAAAGAAGATGTTACCATACTCAAACAGTAAACTACGCTTCAGATATTCGTCCTCTCTCCCTCTCACTATCTTTTGACTTTGCCGATATACTATACATAATATTCTATATTGAATAAACATGAAATTTCATGATTTTACGAGGACGATCGATGTTCGGTCCAGAATAGAAGTGTTATCGATGTTGGGGGATCTGCTCAACGACGATTGTTTTGCTCTCATATGTATGCTAATGTCGGCGCGGGAATTGAATAAAAGATCGAGAATTATGATTGACCCTCGGTTGGACTTATCTTTACTTTTTCCTCCTCTCTCTTGGTTCTTGAAGAAAAATAAAAATAACTTAACTGCAACTGGGGTGGAATTGACATAAAGTCTATCATGAAAACATTGAATTATTTAACAATTAAAATTAATTTTTAAATCCACCAGAATCCATCAATTCTTTTATTCAATTTTTATCATAAAAAATCTTTTCTTTTGCTTGTTGGTAACTTGACCCACAATAATTCTAGTAAATGAAATAAAATCAATCACAATAATAAATCTTTCTGATGAATACATAATATTTAAAAGAATAAAATATTTTTCTATCATGAAAAAGTATGAGATGGTTTTTAATTGTAAGATAGAATTGTGATAGATAATGACTACTCATAAATTTTAATATTAATTTAAAAAGTACTTCTGCATTGCTATCAATTATTTGCAATCTCACTAAGCTTTATCCTTCCATCATTTTTCAATCAGCTTGATATAGTTTCCATTAATCTCTACTTTTCACTCGGCATATAACATTTTGCAGATTAACATACCAAGGAAGATTTACTTGCATTATTTCATAGGAAAAAAAAAAAACGATTTTTAAATGAAATCGCATGAATTGAATGAAAAAAATGCTTAGTAAGTAATGAAATATTATGTAAAACGAATAACGTTAATTGAATCGATTAGTTTTCTCATATTTAATCAAGAAAAAAGCTATTAAATTGTGGAATTGAATCAGCAATTGGATAACAAGATAAAGATAACGTCGTAGAAATAGATGTGCGATAAATATCAAAAGTAGAAAGAGTATAAAAGCGTTGTGAAAAGAAGTAAAAGAGTAATACAGTAGGGGGGGGGGTAGTTTGAACCAATTCTCATATATACATACATATATAGAAGACAATGTCACCAGAAAGAAATTCAATTTTCTTCGAGAAAATTAAAAGGAATGAGAATTTCTAACAGTTTTTATTATTACGAATTTTATAGGATCGTTTTTCTTTCAACAACTGTATTATTTTTGCGGAATGTTAAGTGGATAATGAGATTTTGGCATTCAGTAGTTGATCGAAATATTATTTTAATAGACAAGAAATGAAGAAATCGGTTGCAAGACTCTTTTGAGTTTCTCAGTGCCTTGTTTGGTTTATTGCTTGGAGGATGAAAAATGATCATGGGTTGCATTAATCCTCGTAATTAGACACGATTTATTCGCGCGGCAGTCTCGAGGAATACTTGTCGAGGCAAGTCGCAACTCGCGAGCATCTCGATGGATATCGATCGGGACTCTCATTATTGATAATCCATAATCCGAAACGAGCATCGGTACCAGGCGCACAGTGGCAGCTTGAAAGATCGTCTCGTGGGTAGAAACCCTCCGGGGAACTTCAATTTCTTCGCTCGCCAGATATTATGCTGCTGTATAACGGTGAAAAATTACTCGTAATGTCAAATGAAATAAAATACCATTTGCACCCGAGATCAAGACTAATTGAAAAAAAAAAAAATCAACTTCAATTCCTTTTAAAAAATTACAAGTGTTAAGAATAAATAGTGTGTAATATTTTTTTAGTCTTAAATGAAGTACAAATGAAGTGTAAAAAAATATTTATCGTGAGATTATATTTAAAAATGTCAGAATTAAAATGGTTGTAAAATAAAAATAAATTTTAAAATTTCATGGAAAAAAATGTTTCCATAATTTTTTTATAAAGATAAATAGAATTTAATGACTTTCTATGGAGACAAAATAAATTAATCTTTGTCAAAATTGCATAAGATAATATCGAGACTAGTTCGAAGTATATTAGAATTAATTAAAACATAATAGATAAAGTTAAATTCAGTTTGAGAGTGAATTTTTTTATAATTTTAAAGGAATAATAGACTATTGTAATAATTCATTACGTAGTGAGTATGATGTCATAGAGTTATCAAGATAGAATAAATTAACGTCAACATTAATTTAAATAATACTATAAAATATATAAATAAGTTAATATTCAGTTTAAAAAACATTTCCATAAATAAATGTACCTCAGAATTAATTTGACTCAATGTTATCATTTTTACGCAATAGAAAAAATAAATATACCACTTAGTTAAAGTGAAATGATCGATGGAGATTAGAAGGAAAAAATTAAATCAAAATTCCTTTAAAGAAGAAAAAAAAACTCGCAAGATTTAAATGCAAAATGGAATATAAAGAATTCTTGTGGGTGTAATTTTTACGATATATCTTAATTCTGATGCTAAATTTAAACGTCAATGAAAGAGAAATGACCGAGTCGTGCGCGTAAAAAGTAGAAGAATGGACATTGGAGCAGTGAAAGAGTGTCGCGTGCACACGCGATAGCTTATGCTCTGTTTGTCAGGCAGTATAGAAAAACGTGTATTAAGTCATAGACTACGTGAGATTACGTTGATACTTAACGATTAGTTCTTGTGAACTCGTCAATTATACTAGCGGTCTAGGTGAGTTCTAATTAATTACGTGCAGTGCACAGCACATATTATCAATTATCTCTTTATAATAGCTGTATAAAATTCAGAAAAAAGAGAAATATTTGTTTGTTATCATCCCACTCTCATTTGTTTCCCTTTATCACGAAGCTTAAGGAAAAAATTATCATGACAAATGACACAAATTAAAGAGGCATATATTTAGTTTATTCGTTTGATATACAATTGTTGGCACGAATAGTGTACTGTTAAAGATCTTTACGATTACTTAATAGCATAAAACCTCCTAGATTATATATATTGCAGATGTACTCTTGGTAGAGTAGGTTTTCCAGTGCCAAAGATAAGCCAGTGCAGTTTCCAGGTTAGTGGTAATCACTGATTTACCCCCAGTCTCTTCTAAGCACCAGCTGGAATGTCGACTTTGCATTTAGAGGGTAGTCTTGTTAAATGCGAGCCAACAAAGTCATTAGCACTAGAACGATGTTTTCAAGCTCTCCAGGGAAGCCTCGAGATTCTCTCACTTATTTTATGTACTCAATAAAATTAGTTAAAAATCGTCTAGGCTGAATAAATTTGACATTAAATTTATTTTTAGTATTTTTCACAACTTTTTTTATATTCTGATTCGTGAGTTTCATAAAATTGTTTAGCACATCTTCAGTGGCTTAAAAAGTTGGTTTATTTGATGTTAAACTTGTTTATTTTTAATCTTTGATATTGAAAGATTTCAGCTTTAAATCATTTTAATTTTTTCTTTACTTGTAACTCATTGTAATGTTCTATTACAATGCACTTAAAGTATTTAAATATATCATGTTATAATCCATAATAAGTGACTACAATATTTATAAAATAGGCGACCTCATATTTAAAATTTGCAGTGCTGTGATATTTAGACTCTAAAACAATTTTTTTGTTTTTAACAATTAATTTTGATTCAATTCAATATTAAATATTCATTGTTTAAACTTCAAAAATATTACTTTAAAGTCATTAAAATGTAATATATAATGTTTTAAAAATAATTTCATCATTGATTAAAAAGTGTTTTCATCAACAACTGCTTCAAAATGAGCAAGTCTTGTTAAGCAACATACGTATCCTACCCCTAAAATAATTTTCGTTAAAATAATTATTGTTTCCTCATCCTTTGTCCCAATTAGAGATAAGCCGATACCCAGCTAGTGATTATTTGCCTACGTGTGTTGACTGCTTATGCAAGTTGAAAGCAGCAGATGTTTTTATGCAGTAATGCTCTAGAGAAGGCGAGAAAGTTGAAATGATATAAGAAATGTGTAAGAAACAATAAAAAAAAAAAAAGTAATGTGAACAAGGGTTGAAGGGAAGGGATTATTAAGCTGTAAGGCGTTAACTGGCATAAGGCGTCGGTAGGTGGGATACACACTGGCTTGCGTGCCAAGCTGACTACATTTGCATCTAGACACCATCAATCCTTCTGACGCCCAGTTCAACCCCCTCTCAGTCTCGAATGCCCCTCGTATAGCTGCAATCCTGCACCCCCTTTTCTCCCCTTCACTTCTTCTTTCTCTTTCTCTTCTGTCCATCAACCCGCACCTTCAGTCTCGATCAGAATTTGAATTAAATATCTTCCATAATATCATGAAAGATTGCTATGCTACTTTTCTTTAGCACTTTAAGATTTTATACTTTGTTACAGTTTCGCTCGTTAATTAAACGAGATTGAATAAAAAAAATTACTCGATGAACTTGTTTTAATATTCCATTAATTAAATCTTTATGCTTTAATCATGAGTTATTTTTATTTTTGTGTTTCCATGTTTAATCATGAAGCTTATTATTATGCTGCACTTTAATCTACACAATAACCATTTCGTAATAATCATAGTCTAATTATTATAATCGATTGACATAATATTTTAAAAATTAATTTTATTAAAATTTTTTATAGAAATTATTTAAACTATTTCCTATTTATATTGGACGAGGGAATTGTTTGGCATGAAATCATTTTTTGCAAGAATTTTCTACCATTATCTAACGGTTTTAAGAAAGAATAAATAACTGAATGAAAGATGTGCATCGTTTCCTTTAGAATATACTTAAACAGGCTTTTGAAT